GATGTTACAACTAATCATGGATCCCTTTAAGAAAAAAAAAAACTGTGGTTTTACAGCTTTCCTGATACCGTCTCTCCTCCCCACCAGCTCAGCAAAACCTGTCTGTCTTGTTTCAGTTTGCAAAACACAGACCAGACTTGAGTCGTCACAGTTTGAACTGACATTTTTTAATCCTATTGTTTTTACAAAGAATGTTTTGTTCTGGTATATATATTTGCTTTTTAAGCACTGGAGGAGAATTTTAATTTCCCTCTGTTATCCATTAAAATCATAAAGCCTGGGAGGCATTACTAATGTCCTTTTGAGAGGAATGAATAACTCAGATAAATGGTGTGATGGTAACGTGAGTTAAAACTAAGAAGTAACTCAGACTTCCTTAAACAGTTTGCTGTGGCTGTACCTTTCTGAAACTAAAGTTGGCCCAGAAACAAGCTCTTACGTAGAATGTGACACATCAGCCACACTGAGGTCGCCTACATCAGCTTTTCTCAACTGTGTGGTTTAAAAACGTGTACCATTTCTTGTTTTTTGTCTTTGTACAATCAGTTTCTTGTTAGCAGTTTCATAAATGTTTGTTCACAAGACAGACATGACAAAATTCAGGAAGTTTCAAACCACAAAGGAAAATTCTGTGACCAGCACTGAGAGCTATTAAAGGTTGAAGCAGTTTGTGTTTCAATGAGACTTGCCATCCATTAAGCATTATATTGTAAATTATGGTTAATTTCTGACTGGCCTTTTTCTTCCCTTTTTTATATATATCATTTCCTAATTTTTATGTCGTAAATACTTTGTGAGACACATAACGCTATAAACAAAAATTTAAGATGTTCTTTCTATTATATCAGTTATCAAACTTAGTTTAGTTTAATACTAATTTATGTTTTTTTTTTTTTTTGTGTCCACCAGACCACTGTATGATGCCAATGAAGATTGGGCCATGTCGTGGTGCTTTCCCTCGCTGGTATCACAACGCTGCCTCAGGAGAGTGCGAGCAGTTTATCTTCGGAGGCTGCAGAGAGAACCTCAACAACTACCTCACCAAGGATGAGTGCACTAAGGCCTGCTATGAATCAGGTATTTGCTCTGTTTTTATTTGTTTTGGGGGAGCTGGTTCGTGAATAAAAAAATGGACTCCAGTGATTTTCAAATTCTATAAACACATTTTCGTTACAAAGTAACAAGTAAATATATTTTAATGTTTAAACGTTTTTACAACTGTGAAACACCACCTCTTTTTTTTTTTTTAGCAATAATCTATAAACTATAGCCTCATTCATAAGACAGCTCAGTCCGGGAATGATGCGTGTTATGTCCTCTTCAGATCATTCAGAAAAAACACAAAGGCAGCCAGGGGGGTAAAGTGAGCCCCTCTCTGACACCCAGGCCCGAGCCAGATGAGATATTCAAAGKTTTCTCAAATTGCCCTTGAAAAACATCKGGCCTCATGCAAGAACCGTTCRTACRCACAGATTTGTTCTTAAATTGTGCGTACGAGTGATTTAGGAGAATTTGTGGCATTCACCAATGTTTTCTTATTCTAAGATTTTTTTCAGATACAAACAAAATTCACGAGTGGTCCGGACCTGTCGTATATTTTATGAGCAGTCAGTCTGCTGTTATCCAGACGGGTTTTCCTCCCTAATAACTTTATATTTCTGTAAGAACTCACTCTATGAAATTAAGACCAGCTCAATCTCACAAAATAATCTCTTACTCAAGATCTTTGCAT